AATCAATCAATCAATCAATAGACCTTTAATGGCATATACAACATTAAAATCAGAGACAGTACATGACACAATCAGCTAAAAGTCTGAGATAATTATAAAATCATAAAACGGAGTTTCCCACGTTTTTCACTCTTATCACATCAACTAAAAAAATTGGCCACTGCCACAGTAATCTCTACTGTTGTATCATTCAATAGAATTTGACATTTTATTTTATTAGGAAGGTGATGTGCTTTCTGTTGTGTTGGGTATGGCCTGCCAGGTGAAAGTTGGCAGCCGCAGCACAAGGGAGCGTCCAGAAATTCGCAGGGAAAACATTTTTGGCCCTGATCCAACACACACACACATCTTAGCTGTGTTTTCACTACAAATCGGCATTAAAAATAAAATCTTGTTCCCTGAAGAAGGCTTCCTGGATTGGTGTGGTTTCAGTTATGTGAGACTCCACATGACTTTGAAACCCGGTTTTGCTTTGTTTTAAATAAATCTGTTTCTTTTCTGCTCGTGTACGAATGCTTCTGTGGGAAAGATGATGGGAGTCTGTCCCGCTTTCCCTGCCTGACCTTATCCACCTCATGAATTAGAGAAGACTTGGTGACTGTCGATGATTCTCGTGTGCAGCTAGTGTATTCATTTCTGTTATTTCCCCTGAGCAGAGCTTGTTTCATAGTCCGGCTGCCCATGCAGAGGCTGTTTATCTGCTTCGTGCCATCCCCATCTTCTGCTGCATGTCTCCCGGGTCTGAGTGGTGGTTGTGCTTTCCTGCTCCTAATAAACCGCTCGGCTCCTGTCGTAGGATATGCCACTGTGAAGGAGACGAGGAGAGTCCTCTGATCACTCCATGCCGCTGCACGGGGAGCCTCCACTTTGTCCATCAGGCCTGTCTGCAGCAGTGGATCAAGAGCTCAGATACCCGGTGCTGCGAACTCTGCAAATACGAATTCATCATGGAAACCAAAGTGAAACCTTTACGAAAAGTAGGTGCAGGAAATGGTTTTCAAATGCCTTTCATTCCTAGGAAAACGAGACATCACTGCTTTCCTTGTCAGCTCACAGGGCCCTTTCACGTATATCTTAAAAGATATACGCTACACACATTACCCAGTGCTGTACATCTTTTGGTGTAGTGGTTAAGTGTGCAGACTCTAATCTGGGAGAACCGGGTTTGATTCCCCACTCCTCCACTTGCACCTTCTGATGTGACCTTGGGTCAGTCACAAGCTCTGGCACAGCTGTCCTTGAAAAAGAGCCGTTTCTGTCAGAGTTCTCTCAGCCCCACCCACCTCACAGGGTGTCTGTTGTGGGGAGGGGAAGGGAAAGGAGTTTGTAAGCCGCTCTGAGACTCCGAGTGAAGGGCGGGGTATAAATCCAATCTCTCCCTTCTTCTTTGTCTTCTTCTTTGTGTCCACATGGTACAGAGCTGCACCTCAGCTCTGAACAGGTAAGTCCAAATATACGTTTCACTCCACCTCACTGATTGAAGGAAACTTCCAATTGCGATTCTACGGATAGCCAGTTTTCTCTGCATTTCAATTAATTTTTTAGCAAGAATCGCTCCTCTCTTGGGTGGTAACTCCCATAGAACGTA